TTTGCTTGCTGTCTGTTTCTTCTGCATGCTGCACAGAAAACAATCAGCAGTTTATTCAACAGTTGATCAAGTCACATGGGAATGTGCAGTGGAATTAATCAACATTCAATCAACATTTTGGGAAATACACTAATTTACTTTCTGACTGAGCGTTAGATAAGGAGATTGATACCATGCTCTCTAAAATATGGGGAAAATTAACACATTAGATGTATGTTTAATCTGTACAAACTTGCTGCTGGCTGTAGCTTCATATTTATTGTACAGACATGTACGTGGTATCAGTCTTCTCATCTTACTTCCATTAAGCAAGAAACGTATTTCCAAAAACTTTTAATTTAAGTAGCCCAGTATGGATATCTGGATGCTACTTGATGCAAAGAATGTTAAAAATGAGACCAAGGTATGCTCTCAGCAAAGTGGAAACGAAAGTGTATGATGGTTGGAGAAAATGCATGTACAGCAGTGCATGTACCAGCCATGCTTAGCACATAATTGAAATATGCATCACAGCAGACTGATTTATCTCGTCTTTTATTAACAAATTCATTGTTGTTTTTAGAAAAAGAAATACTTTAAGTTTAAGTACACAAAAAGCTCAAACAATTTCCCCAAAACGTCCAATAATTTTTTCCTAATGCTTTCACAATCATTTACATGAGGCAGCCCAACACTTACAGAAATAATGCAGCAGAAATCAGACGTTCCTCTTATTTGAAAGTCCACATAACTTTGACAGAGTTGAAGTGTATTTAATACTTCATGCCAGGCACTTAAAATGAAATTAAATGAAATAAATAAAATAAAAAGTTCAACAAAAACCCAAATAAGTACTATGTACATTGAAATAACTGAGTTTCCAGTATTTAGCCTAGGTTGGCATACACTACTTGACTACTTACTGAATACACAATTAAAACCTATTAACTATTAGAATCAAAAGAATACTTCAGAATTTGTCTCTTATAACTGCTAAGAGTTAAAAGAAAATGTGGCATACATTTTTTCACAGAACAAGGATTTTCTCCCCCATCACTTCCACCAATCACACGCATCAGGGGGTCTCTTAATGGCCAGTGTGTGAACAAGAGTTCAGACAACAGAACAACAGTTTCAATGTTCATATGGTCACCTGAGAGTAAGAACAAAGTCAGAAAATCAAAAAGAAATTGTACCCATCCAAATGCAAATGGATGACACAATGTGGCTACCACTTAACCTTATAAATCTAAGTGGCAAACTCAACTGAATTTAATATTGAACAGATTAAAGACAGAAAAAAAGGGTTTGGATTTGTTGAATGCTGATTTGGTATGAACTCACTCAGAGGCCGACCGTACTTTTAGGAAACTATGACAAAGTCTCCAAACCCATCACATATAAAGTGTAAATATGATTACAGATGTACAGTATGGTGCAGTATTTTTGTGATGAGAAATGCATGAAAGTGTAAAATGATAAATGAACTTGTGTGTGTGTGTATGGGTTTGTGATTGTGCTAATGAGCAAGTCTCCAAGACTTTGGATTCACAATACAGACATTTTGTCATAAACAGAATAAGTCACAGTATCCACAGCTAAAATGAAAAGCTGTATGTCTTATAATACATTTTCAGTGTCTAAACTGGTACATTACAGCAGTGTAAAATCTCAAAGAGGAAAGGACATTCCCCATAGGCAAAAGTACTGATACAGTACAGGACAGCTAAATATCACCATTCACACAAACATCCTTATGCAGAAGGCATTACATCAAACTAAATGTGTTAAGAATCTATAACGCTGCAGGAGTTTCCCTTTTTTTATTATACTGTATGTGTGTGTGTGTTAATAGAAAGGGAAGGAAACTACAGTATGGCAGCAACACAAAAGTCCCAAAATGACCACAAAAACCTGTTTACCATATGTGTAGCGCTTATATTATAGAAGATTTCATACCAAATACATTCACACATGAAATATTAATACAAAACGTGTATAGATTTATGTAATGTACATACTATAAAGTAGCATTATGTCAAATAAAAAAGATTAAGACAATGGGCTCATGTGTGACATATTCAATGTCCATTTCTGCTAAACTTTCTGAGTACTCAAAAATATTAACGATCAATATAATATGAACTTTCTAAAACTGTCCCAAATGAACTAAGTTTAGAAGTTGGGTTGTGTATGAAATCTCAAAAGTTTTTCAAAAGTGTCTTTTATCTTATATCCTGAAATTAGAGCTTGAGCATACAGTAGGTACTCAACATTGAACGCTGACTGTTGCAAAGTGCTCAGTATTTGTTCTCACCAACAGAAAGCGTGTGAGATACTTCTTGCAACTCTCTTTGAGAATCTGCAAACGTGAGAAAAGTGGAACCTTCCATTCAGTTAAAGCCTGAATACTGAGCAGGTTTTGTACAACAGACTGCAGGGTTTTTATGTCTCACTTACGATGATGACAATCTATTTTGTTTTGTTGCTGTACTGTAATAATGTTGTTGCTGTTAATGAAATGTTCCAAAGCAGTTGGGGTCTGCTGTATGTATGTGATGGCAGTTTCATCAATACTGAATAGGATACATTGCAGTAACACACTCAGTGCTTTAACCTAAACCAATGTCTAAGATGTGGAGACATATATTCTGTAACTGTCAAAAATGTATAAGAAAAACATGATTCAGTTAAGTGTGATCTAAAATCACAACATATTTTGAAATTATGACCAAACAACATCTCTGCTCCACACATAAACTATTATGTTGCAATAACACCATTGTCTTTAAGCCTAACTTTGGTTATTGATTGGCTTTACCACTTCCTGTAGTGGTATACTATTGATCTTGATCTGTATCTGTACTACAAAAGGCAACTAAGGATTTGCGCTCTAATTAGGAGACAGTCAAATAAGCCGATAAACTTCTCTCCGCTGTAACATGGTGTCTGTGACAAAGAAAGATGGGATTAATTTATATGTAAGCTACAGGTTAATGGCTCAGTTAGAAGTGTCTCATCAACTAATGTGTTGACAAAACTGTTGCTAAAGAATCAAGAACAGATATAGGACCTGCCTAATAAGTGTCTGTACAAAAATCAATATTACAGCCTGTAAATAAAATAAATAAAGGTCAAAGTGCTTGAAGATTCAATATACCAGTGCGTGAGAAGATAAAGAAAGAGTGCTCTAATTAGATACTGAAGCCTCAGCAATCAATTCCATGTTTTTGTGCATGTGTGCAACTGTGTGAGTGCATGCAACTGTATAGGATGTTTGCGTTCCGATTGCTATAGGCTATAGGCAGGAGTCCCAGTGTGTCTGCAGGTCATAACTGTCCAGGAAGTCTGTGGAAAACACACTAGGGGGTGTCTGGGGGCCCAGTGGGGCCAGTGTGGGGGTTTCCTCTCCCCTCACTCCTCCAATGGTGAGATCCAACCAATCCATACTGTCCAGCCCATGCTCCCCCTCCACTGCCATATCGAAGGTATCCATGGGAGATGGGGGATGGTCCAGGATGCTGGGAGTGCACAGCATTTGACTGTGGAGGTCATCAATCAAAGTCAACAGGCCCCCGGGTTCCACCCCCAGGAGAGGCTTACCAGTGGTGCTTTCCAGAAAGTCCTCCAGGCGTCCACTCCCAGCGCTACTGAGGTGTTGTTTCTGTTCTGTGGTGTCGACCAGAGTCTGAAGCTCAGACTGCACCGAGAGGGCCTGCTGTGGGGTGTCACAGCTGGGTGGGATGGAGGGGGGTAGCAACAGCTGGAGCGGGGAGGGAGGAGGGGAAGACGCAGAGGAGTTTGGATTTAGATGCTCCAGAGACGGGTCAGGTGCTGGTTTGAAGGTGCTCGACATCTCTGAGAGGGAAAAACACAGAATGAAATGTTGTTCGCAATACAATAAATCTAATTTAATTGTTGTATTGTTGTAATAAAAAAAAGATCTTACCTCCTGTCTGCAAAATTATGTCAATAAAATCATCCTCGCGCTCTGTATCCTGAGCACAGACACACAGAGGGAACAACACATTAAACATTAACACAGATGACATATCAAACTAGAATGCAGAGCAATACAGTTTCGCTTAATATAGTTTAGAAAAACTTAAGAAGCACGCCCAAGGGCAATACGAATCACACATTTTGGATTAAAAACAATCAGACATGTCATACTTTGTTATCAGGCGATGAGGCAGCTGTCTTAATGGAGGCAGGAGACAGAGGACTAAACAAGACATCCAGACTAGGGCAGACATCCTACAAGAGAACAGAACAAGTTTCCATTCACTTTCCAAAGCCAGAGAGGGGAAAAAGTTTTTGTGCATCCAAAGTTATCACAAAATCCTTTACAATGTTACAGGAGGATACAAGTCACCTTGGAAGATAATCTGTGTCATCTGGAGATTACTTACAATTTGAGAGGAAGGTGATAAGGTGTTTTTCCCTGAGGGAGCGGTCTCCTGGTCCTTGAAGAAAGGCTGCAGACTGGGAGGTGCTGACAAACACTGAGTAACTTCCTGCTGAGGCTGGTCAACAGATACCTGAAGTCCCCCATTCTGTGGCTTCAAATCATGGAAAAGAGTAGAAAGATAAGTACTCCTTACATGGGGAACAGTATTCAGAAGCAAAAAGAGGCAGTCTTTGCACACCTGCACTTGATGGGAAATCCTGTACATCTCAATTAGCCAAGATGCAATGGAGTCTTTGTTCCTCCTCCGTTAACAATATAAATCATAGTAATGGAGGATGTCGTTAGAGTAATTAGCAAAGCAATAATAATCAGCATCGTGATAGTGTCAGACACTCTTATCAAGGACTGCTGTCACTGCCTCAAACAGCATACATCATTAATTTCCACTGCTATTGGACTCAGTAGAGCAGTTCTCTTTCACCCTCATGTTTCGCTCTCTCTTTATGCAGCATTAACACAATGTTCTGTTTTTGCTCCAGTGGTGGGAAACAGAGGCTGTGGGGCAGGAGTGAAGTTTGTATGTAGTATGATGGGGATTCATTAAATGTGTAAAAGGGATGTGTGATTATTTAAAATGTTTCTCCAGGCCTCTCCAGGCGGATAGTTTCGCTTTGATCTGTTGAGGTTTTGAGATATTCCCCACATAGTGTAAAAGTAGTCATATTTTCAGTATATAAGACTATCTTTCTTTTCCTTTTTTTAAAAAATGTTTTCCTGTTGTGCAATGCTACTCCTGCTAATTTTAATCTGGTTGCATCAGTGTCTTAAATCTCACCTTTGTCTTTTGTTGTTTCAAAAATCCCTCATGCACGCTCTGTTTGGTTTGATTATCAGCTTTAGGCAGCTGAACAGGATTGTGGCCAGGGAGCTTGGCTGGAGAAGACTGTAGTCGCTGGTGGAAAATGAACAATTAATACTGCGTAGTTAGTATTAGTTTTGGTAAAGGTCCAGTGTGTAGAATTCAGTGGCATCTAGTGGTGAAGTTGCAGATTGCAACCGTTTGAATACAGCTCACCCTCCCTGAACATGGTGTACTCCATAGATGAGGACACAACACAACAATTTTTATTTTCAGGTGATTATACAATAATTAACACATAACTATGTATATTACTTTCCATTGTTGCCAATAGATCCTCCTAAATGTTACACACTGGACCTTTAAGTGCTGAATATAATAATAAGAAGAGTAGATCAGAATTCATGAATCAGTCCTGATTCACAAAAAAAGTGGATGGCTGAAAGTGAGTCAGGTACCTGCAGAGTGATTTGATTGGTTGTTTTAGTCTCAGGCGCATCACTTCTTTGGTTCTCTGTAATGTGACTGGTCAGTGCGATCAGGAAGTGGTTACCATTGCTGTCGGTGACCAGAGTCGGGGCGGAGTTACTCTTAAGAAGATCCAGTGGGAACGAGGGGGCTGAGGCTGACTGCTGGTTGAGGTACGTTTGAGACACCTGTACAAAACAGACAGAATAATGAATTATGTACATTTTACTTTGTATTTTACACAAGCATGGCAAAAAGTCTGCTCCTCTTATGATTTAATAAGGGAATAGTCAGGAGGCCACTGTCCAGTAACACCTCTCAATCACAGAATTTTAGTGGCATAATTTGGAAATCTGACACCAAAGTCTATGCACTGTAAACGATATTGTAAAACGTATTGCTGACCTGTGGGGACTGCTGTTGCGCTGGTTGTTTCTGCTGTATTAGCACCTGTTGTTGCTTCAGATGTATCTTGGTCTGTATCTGGAATTGTTGCAGTTGTTTAGTCTGCTGCTGCTGCTTATTTTGCTGCTGTAAAACTGACTTTTGTTGCTTCAGAAGAATCTGTTGCTTCAGCTGCATCTGCTGTTGATGCCGCTTTGACTGTTGATGCAGATGTTGTGATTGCAGCTGTTGCTGCTGCTGTTGCTGCTGTTTGAGCTGCTGTTTTTGAGATTTCTTTTTTCTCTGCTGAGAAAGTCTCTGCAGGTTCTGCTGATTCTCTAGCGTCTGACTGCTGTTCTGATTTGTCTGCTGCTGGTTCTGAATATTGTGCTGTTGCTGTAGCAAAAGTTTCTGTATGGCCTGTTGCTGGGCAAACTGCAGAGTGGTTTGCTGGAGACATATATGTTGTTGTTTTGTCTGTTTGTTCATCTGCGCTGGCTTGATTTGCACGTCCTGAGTTTGGATCAAAGACCGTGGTAATCCATGAGTGTCTGGTAATTGCGTAGTTGCCTCAGACACAACATCCTCTGCCTCAACAGCTTCCTGTTTGACCGTTACCTTGGTAACATCCATGTCACATGAAACAGATGAAGGTGGAGAGGGGAAAGGTGGGTGGCCAAATGAGAGAGGGACATTTGGCTTATCAGGTGGTTCTTGTTTAACTCTTACAAGAACTAGCGGCTCTGAAACTCTTCCTCCCCTCTTCCCATGCTCCAGCTGCATCCTCAGCAACTCCACCAGCCTCTGTTTCTGCCTCAGCATCCTGGTCAGCTCCTCTATCTGCATGTCTTTCTCCTGCAGCATCTTGTCTTTGTCCATAGCCACTACTGGAGCCGTGGTTGTAGTTGTGGCGGCAGCTGATGAGGCCAGGCAATGTTTCTGCAGAGAGGCAGTCTTTAAAGAGAATTGACAAGGAGCTGGGGTGGAGCAGTTCGGCTCTTCTTTAATGTTAATTGGAAACTCAGCAGCAGAACATGGCTGAAGGCTCAGCTGCGTGAGAGGCGAACTCATCTAGACAGAAATAGTGATAATATAAATAGGTAAACGTATAGTAGAAAACTGTGAAATAAAATGCAGGAGCTTGAGACTACTAAAATCACAATTCTTAGTATGTAAGCAAGATGAGTCTACAGCCTTATAAAAGCTAAATGCTAACGTCTGTATGCTAACATGTTCACAGTGACAGTGATAGCATGCTGATGTTGAGCAGGTATAATAGTTATCATGTTGACCATATATTCTCTAAATTGAATGAAATTACTATTTCAGGTATAATTTACATTTTATAAGTATTTGCACTGTATTAAATGTATGTTAATAGTTAGGTAATAGGTAATATAATTTACACTTATTTAGAACTTAATGGCGTCTTCTATGTAGATTGTAAAGTATATATAAAAATTACTAATTATATATAGTTAATACAGTAGTAATACTAGTATGTCAAGTACATTAATCATTAGTGCAGTGAAGTATAATTAATATATTAAAATTTAGTTTTAGTATATTATTTTAGTTTTTTTTTTACATTTCTTTTACAAGTCAATCACCACACTCAAATGTGCAAGTGGCACATTTCAGTACATTTCTGGGGTTATGTAAGATTAAGTTAACAAAATAATTCAGACCATTTCCCCCAAGGGGTCGTTGTTGAAGCTGGTATCTTCTGGGCTAATGGCTCCCGGTGAGCAGCCTGAGGGAGTGAGCGAGGCGTTAGCGGAGGAGACGGTGCGACCACAGCTAATGAGCTGTTGAGGAGTGGCTGCTGCTGGGGCGGAACTGCTACCATCAGCTATACAGGGATAAAGAAAGGGTGATATGACATTAGCACAAAGATGATACACTACATACATCTACACTGTTTTCTTCCTTATCTTTCAACACTTGAGTACATAACTAAAGTGAGGAGCGGTGATTGATTTCACAAGTAATCCCACATTAGAGAAAGTACAGGTAAATGCTTTGTTTGTGAACAAATTTAATCATCTGACTGACCGGTAAGAGAAGACGTCTGATGGCACTGAAAGTGAAACTGTTGCTGTTGTTGTGATGTATTGTTGTAGGTGGTGGTTGCAGCAGTTTTGGAGGATTTTCCTGCTCCTTCAGCCCCTGGCCCTGTGGTACCCCCTGCTGTTCGAGAGGAGGTAGTGTCACTGCCTCCATTCAGTTCCTGGTAGGTCCTCAGCCTCTCAATGAGGTCGTTTTTGGTGCCGGAGACTGGCAAGTTGCGCAGCTTCAACTCGGACTTCAGTTCCGCGACCTGACAGAAGATGGAGTAAAAGAGAAATTGAGTTTGAAGGACAAGAGCGAGGAAAAGGGGAAGAGACGAGGATAAATATCAGAGGAAAATTGAAAAGGATCAAAGGAAAAAAGAAGAGAGAAAACAAAAAGACAGAGTAATCCATCACTGTCCCTTTCTTTGTCAGCAGGCTGCTTTTCGGTGACAAAATTTTGTTAACAGAGAATCTTTTACAAATGTCAACTTCTATCCAAAAGTTACTCCATCGACCCATAGCTTGTAGACAGCAGAAAGAGCTGTTGGTCTTTACTGTGCTTCACTTGTAGACTGAAAATGTATCATAGTATAGGTGAGGTATAGTGTCCATCCACCACTAGTGATGCTCAAATCATGAAAATTAGACATTAAATATTGATCATTAATGCTGTTTCCTTTTGGATTTATATGTTGTTGTGCAACTAACCTTCATTTCATCCAGGTTTGGAGGTAGAAATGCTGGTTTTGTCCCACCTAAAGGAGCAGAACTCTGACGGCTGTGACCGCCCTGGTTAGAGGGGGCTGTTGAAGAGGCGGCGACAGGTCGAGGTGGGGAGGAGATGGTTGTGGAATTGGAGGAGGAAGAGGGCTGCTGATCCATCTGAGGTCTGTTGGAGAGAAAGTCAGAGAGAGGAAACGTATGGTGATCGCTACGGTCTTTTGAGAACTGACAGTGTGTCTGGTTGCTTTAGATTATATATGCTTGATCGATGGTCCCAGAGAAACTCCCCTATCCCAGGCAACAGCTATTTTCCCTAGGTGAAACATACTTGGGTGGTGCAGGCAGGATGGCATGGTAGTTGTAGTGCTGCTGCTGCTGATTGAGGATCTGGAGCTGCAAGAAGAGCTGCTGCTGCTGGAGGATTTTGGCATAAGATGAGTCAAGATGGGGAGGAGGCTCTTTATCGCCCTTCTGGTCCGGAGGGATGTACTGATGGTACTTTAACTTTTTAATCTAGAGAGAAACACATCAATAAAACAAATGATCGTTTGAGAACTATATTGGTGCTTCAATTACAAATTTTTGTCTGGGGGTCTTAGGTTTAGATGGATTGGCTCATTGAAATACTAGCATAATGATTTACAACAGCTTATAGTATTAGCAACAGTACTGTCTGTATGTCAGAATTAAAAACCTACCTTTGGCTTGTTGTCTTTTGGTTTCTTACTGTGTGCAGAGCGGTCAGAGTTTGGTTTAGGCTGGTACTGGAAAAAGAGAGGGATTGTAAGTGCATGCTGTGCATACAATATACCAAATTTTTATATTTGATGTCAAAAAATGTTTTTGACCCCTTGAGGGCAGTACAACAAGCTGTACACACAATGCTGAGAAATTACCACCTCAACATTATCATCATTATGAAAGCAACATTATCATTAATTTGGAGACGTGTTTTTGGCCACCTGATGAATGTAAGTCCAGTATTTACTCTCTGTGTAGCTTTGTTTTGGTCTCTACCAACTCCTGAGGAAAATATCTGGCCCTTTAGCTGCTAAAAGATCAAATATTTGCACCAGCTAGCCATAACTTTGTCTGCCTTCCGTTTGGTGTTGAGTTGGTAGCATATAGTGGGTTTAAGGAGACTTTTGTTGACAGAGATCAATTGATTGATTGTTAATATAAAATCATTGATTACGTTTTCTTTCTGAGATTATGAGACACTTTTTAAGACACCTTTACTGCTTGGCTGGCAGTTGTCACTTACCTTGATCTGTGAGATCGCCCCTGTCCTCTGGGCAGATGGTGCTGTAATCCCATTGGTCAGCTTCAATGAGGTGGGGGCTCCAGAGATAGGTGGTGGAGGAGGTGCAGGAGGAGCGACCTAATTTAAAAAATAAAAACACTTTAAGTGATCACTAATGGCTACACCACAGCCTCGCCTAGAGACATAGTAGCCTATTGCAGATCTATCAGTATTGGTGTATATGTCAGATGATAACAAGAAATTGCCGTTTCTGTCCTGCAATTTCTTGTCACTCGCCAAACTAGGTTTAAGGGTCATTTAGAAACAGTGTCGCCATTACATATTGTATTACAGATATATCAATTAGAGAGCACTGATAGGTTGACTTTTTTAACAGAAAAAATGTCTGTGTGACTTTTTAAAAAAAAAAAATATATATATTTAGGTCATTATTATTTAAAAAAACAAATCTAAGTATAATAATAAAAAAAACATTTTATGTTATGTGTTTATGTAAAACCAATTAATGTGGATAGATATATATTTATATAATAACACTAAAATA